AATTACTAAAGTTACTAAAATTTTATTTGACAGGCAAGCAGAAAGAAACTCCCATCTACTTGCTCACGACTTCCCAAAGGCTAACCTGGGAACCAGAAACTGCTCTCCCACAGGGCTGCAGGGACCCAATCAGTTGGACTGCTTCCTCCCAAGGTCGTCCCAGAAGGAAGCTGCAACCCTGAAAAGAGCTGGGACTTACATACAGGCGCTCTGATCAATGGCTAACCCAAGAGGCAGAATACCCACTTAGAAGTTTTTAATAGAGGCTGCCATTATGGCCCAGCACGTAAAGCTGCCGCCTGTATCATCAGCATCATATATAACTGACAGCTGGTTTCCCAGATGCTCCAGTTCTGATTCAACTCCCTGCTACATGGCCTGGGAAAAGCAGCAGAAAGTGGTCCAAGTGTTTGGGTCTTTCTCTCCCAAATGACAGACCTGGCTGTGGCTCTGGCCCCTGGTTTCTGTCTGGGCCTGGCCCAACCATCGCTGTTGTGGCAGAGCTGGAGTGACCCAGCAGATGAAGGATCTCTGTAGCTCTCCCTTTTGATATGTAACTGTTGCATTTAAATCAAGAAATAAACCATTAAGAATAAAAGCCTTGAGTCCAGCGTGATAGCCTAGAGGCTGAAGCCCTTGCCTTGCACATGCTGGGACCCCATATGAGTGCTGGTTCTAATCCCTGCAGCCCCACTTCCCATCCATCTCCCTGCTTGTGGCCCGGGAAAGCAGTCGAGGATGGCCCAAGGCCTTGGGACCCTGCACCCATGTGGGAGACCCAGAAGAGCTCCTGGCTTCATATCAGCACAGATCCAGCTGTTGTGCTCACTTGGGGAGTGAATCATCGGATGGAATATCTTCCTCTCTGTCTCTCTTTCTCTCTGTATACCTGACTTTCCATTAAAAATAAAATAAACCTTAAAAAACCAAAAAGAATGTCTTAAAATAGTGAAATTTTACTTAAAAAGTTTAAAATGCAGAACTAAATCAATCAAAATAAAGTTTCATTTATCTCTCCAATCCCATTTTAATCTTAATTCTTTAGAAGAAACCAAAGTTAACTAAGTTTGGTGTATAATATTCTTAAAACTACTGATTAAAAAAAAAAAAAAAAACCCTTCTGATTCAATACACTCACAGATAACAGAATTCCTTAGGAAATTTTACATTCTGAGACTGATCAAAAATAACTGATTGGTATTAACATGATTTCTCTGGGCCAGTGAATGGTGTGCTTTATAAAGCTGCTTATTGAAGCGCCAGTTTGAGCACTGCTGCACCACTTCTGATTCAGCTCCCGGCTTGTGCCCTGGGAAAGCAATGCAACCCACGTGAGAGACCCAGAAGAAGCTACTGGCTTCATCCCAGCATTAGTAATTGCTGCAGTATGGGGAGACAACCAACAAGTGCATGATCAATTAATCAATCAATCAATCTCTCTCTCTGTAATAAATAAATAAATAAATATTTAAAAAACTTATTTCTTAAAACATCAGGATAATACTTTTGGCACCACTACACATCATTTTCCTCAAAAACTGTCAGGCAGCACACAGGAATAAAACTTGTCCATATCACCAAAATAAGAGAGAGGTGAAAATTGGTGGACAAAACGGTCAACATACTCAGAACAATTAAAAACATTACTTTTTTGTGATCCTTCCAAAAAGCAAAGATAGGGGTCTATGCAATAGCTTAACCGACTGATCCTCTACCGCCAAGCGCCGGCATCCCACATGAGCATCCCATAAGAGTGCCCCAGCTGCTCAACTTTCCATCCAACTCCCTACTTATGATCTGAGAAAGTAAAGGAGAATGGCTCAAAGCCTTGGAACCCTGCTCCCATGTGGGAGAGCTGGAAAAAAGCTCCAGGCTTCAACTCAGCTCAGCTCCGGGTGCTGTAGCCATCTGGAGAATGAACCAACATACAGAAGATATTTCTCTGTCTTTCCTTTTCTCTGTAAATCAGGCTTTCCAATAAAAATAAATAAAATGTTAAAACAAACAAAGACAACACTTATGTAACTGTTACATTACTTTAAAAAACAGCAAAACAACTAATGCTTTATTTATTTTTACTACAAAGTCAGATATGCAGAGAGGAGAGACAGAAAGGAAGATCTTCCATCTGATGATTCACTCCCCAAGTAAGTGCAAAGGCCGGTGCTATGCTGATTCGAAGCCAGGAGCCAGGAATTTCCTCCAGGTCTCCCACATGGGTGCAGGGTTCCAAGGCCTTGGGCCATCTTCGACTGCTTTCCCAGGCCAAAAGCAGGGAGCTGGATGGGAAGTGGAGCTGCTGGGATTAGAACTGGTGCCCATATGGGATCCTGGCGCATTCAAGCTGAGGACTTCAGCCGCTAGGCCATGGCGCTGGGCCCAAAGGAGTCATTTCTTATGGAACAAATTTTTATAAGCAATTTGGGAAATTTTCTCACATAGATTTTAGAAAAACAGTAATATTTTAATTTCATCAATAAAATGTCACAACAATTGGAAAACTTTAGGTTGTGATCAAAATATAAACTATACAATGAAAGTATAAGTTAATAAATGGGACACTGCAAAGAGTTAAAATGAAATGAAAATTTTAAGAAGTTCCCAAGCTCTAACACCCCACAAGAGTACAGGAACAGTTTGCATTTAAATCACATTCCTTAGGGGACCCACATGATAGCCTAGTGGCTACAGTCCTTGCCTTACATGTGTCAGGATCTCATACAGGTGCTGGGTCATATCCCAGCTGCTCCACTTCCCTTCCAGCTCCCTGCTCGTAGCTTGCAAAAGCAGCAGAGAACTGGCCCAAAGCCTTGGCACTCTGTACCTACGTGGGAGACCCGGAGGAAACTCTGGCTATGGATCAGCTCAGTTCTGGCTGTTGTGGCCACTTGAGGAGTGAACCAGTGGATGGAAAATACTTCTGTCTCCTTTCTCTCTATAAATCTGACTTTCCAATAAAAATAATTGTATCTTTTAAAAAATGCATTCCTTAAATGTATTTGAATACATTGAAAACTATCAGGATCAGCATGGTGAAAGAAATCTGAATCACAATTAGCAATCTACAAAATTCCTCATTTTAAAATTAATTCCACATCTTTACTCTATCTGCATACATATAAACTGCACTAAAAAGTGTGGCAAGTATGTTCAATTTGCTATATTATTAAGGAGGATCTAAAATAGATAACCTACTTAAGCACAATTAGGCTATCTACTGCCTACATAGGTATGCTGAAAGAGTAGCCACTGAGCACTCAGGGATTCACACAGCCATTCAAGTGCTGGTCGCAGTGAGGTGGACGTCAGCGGCCAGAGCAGCCAAGCAGCAGAGCGCTTCTGGAGCTGAAGGTGACAGTGACAGGACACTAAGCAGAATTCTGCTCCCCTCCAGTGCTAACAAGCTGCTCACACAGGAGACGCGCACAAAGCAGGTATACAAGTTCAGAGGGCATTTACGAGGTAATTTAGTCATCAGCAAAGTGGAAAACCTCAAATGGGAAAACAGTCATTCTTAGTTATCATTAATGTTTCCACCAAAAATTTGTAATTAAATTCCATGAACTATTCTTGATATCTTATTCTCCATTTCTTAGAATTATCAAAATAGATTTATTTTAAAAGAAGAAAAACATGTAGAAAGCAAAGGCTTAGTATTGGCTCAGCTCTGGCCATTGTGGTCACTTGAGGAGTGAACCAGCAGACAGAACTTTCTCTCTGTAAATCTTACTTTTCAAATCTATTGTTGGGCCCGGCACAATAGCATAGTGGTTAAGGTCCTTACCTTGAACACGCCCGGGATCCCATATGGGCACTGGTTCTAATCCCATCAGCCCCCCATCCCATCAGCTCCCTGCCTGTGGCCTGGGAAAGCAGTCAAGGACGGCCCAAGACTTTGGGACGCTAAACTGGCATGGGAGTCCGGGAAAAAGTTCCTGGTTCTTGGCTTTGGATCAGCGCAACACCAGCCCTTATGGCTACTTGGGGAGTGAAACATGGGACGGAAATCTTTGTCTTTGTCTCTCCTCTCTGTATATCCGCCTTTCCAATAAAAAAAAAATAATAAATAAATCTTAAAAAAAAAAAGACTAGATTTGTTAAGCTAATTTTTGAATTATTAATTATTTTTTATGATAGTTGAATAGGGTGATAAGGGTCAAGGGTTACAGGAAGGTGGGCAAGATCCCCATTTCCACATTCTCTTTTTTCTTCCCTGTCTCTGGGGGGAGAGGAAGAGACAAGCAGAGAGGCCACACCCAGCCTCCCAAATCCCTCTGCACCCTGGGATGGAGGACACCCCCCGACACCATGCGAGGGTCCCTGATATGGGGCACGCTCTGAGGGTCCTGCTCATGAGACTTCGATAGTTTAAGCTAATTTGTTATACTTCTTAAATTTCATAATAAACTGTTTGAATGTAAATCTTCACTTTCCCCAAAGCAAGACAATTAGTCCAAGCCATAAGTTAATCAAGCATGTCTGTGTGAAACTTAACCATAGCAGTAAAATGTACTGACAAAGCAAACAGTGACTGAGACACTCGGTTCCTGTCTCTGGACACTGACTCTGAGGGAATTCTGTGTGTGTGCCAAGCCAGCTGAGGGTCCTTCTGCACGTGTTCTAAGAGTGAATTAATGAATATTAAGCAAACAAAAATAATTCACAGAAATTTACCAAGAAGTTATTGAATTGTGTAAATAAGTACTGCAAATAATGTACTTTCTGTTCTGTTTAGTCTCTACAAAGAAGAAATAAGTTTTTAAATAAACATTACACTAAAGTAGCTAAAAGCTATGTAACTGCTAGATGGCCACAAACATTCTAAAATAGTTTGTTGAGAGCTTTTTCTATTTGGAAACGAGGATAATTTATTTATTAAAAGGTGATTTTTAAACTTATAGCAGAAATAATAATTTTAAAACATTTCCCCTCTTTTATGGCACAAATCACACTCAAGTTTACACTTCAAGCTTAAAGAAATCTTGGGTAGATAGACTCACCATCTGTATGGGTTTCTTGTGGAGATCTCGTTCTGTTACCAACTTTTCCTGGTCAGTGACATAAAGGCCCTTCTGTGCTAAAGCTTGCATGACAGCATCATGGCCCAACAGGGGCTTTGCAGCATCACTCTTGAGAATGAGACTCCCAGCACGACAGTAAAGTTCAGCCGATAGAAGCAAATTAACAACAGGTGGTTTGATGTGTTCCTGGTCATACTGATCTGTGTAAAAGGGTTCTTGAAGTTCCTCTGGGACATTTTCTATAAAGATTAAGGGAAAAAAAATCTCTTACAAGGTTTTTATTTAAAAAAAACATAATTTAATAATTAGTATTTACATCATATAACTTAAGATTTTCTCTTAAAATTGCAATCATCTTGAAATGAGAAGGTGAGTTAGTTCCTTGGCATATACTGTACAATCACAGCAAGGTGCACATTTCCTTTTCAGGAGATGCTGTTAAGAGCATATCCCAAAGAGCAAAGCTATGGAACCCAGAGGCTCTGGCCAGAGCATTCCCACACGCACAGTCAAATCTACAGAACAAGCTGTACGATTCCTACAAACTAATCTCAGGGATTCCCTCACAAGCAGCCATCAAACCAAGAAATGCACCACAACAGCTGCCTCAAGAGACTACAGGCCTTGGCACCTGACAGGATGAAATTACTGCCCGAAGGTTTCCAGAGGATAAGTTACAGAAAAGAGATGGCCCAACTTACTCTGTCCCCCTCTGCCTGCTGAGGCAAGTGACAGCCATGGTTAGCAAACAGCCACAGTTAAAAATCTGTTATCAAGTATGAACGACTGTAAAAATCATACATAGATGACTTTTATGGAGAAGGAAATGAAGTTGGAAGGCAGTAGTTGGAAACAAGTGATGGGCAGAAGATACTGTTCAAGACAAACAAAAATACCCAGGAATAAAGCAAAGAGAAGAGCCAAGAGGCCAATTAAAGACACCAAACCTGGGTTACCAGAGAAATGACGTTTTCATTCATAGAAAAAGGAAAACCAGACACAGCACCAATTCTGGCAGCAAGATCATTAACCCAGCTAACATGCTGAGGTTGAGACGAGAGCAAAAAGGCCCACGAAGCAGCAAGAGATACAGTGCTCTGGAAAGTGGTCAAAAAGGGATGCGTCTGGCAGGGAATTTGGTAACATCTAAAAATATCATTCTTGTTTACTGACTGAAAGAATTTTCCTTCCTTCACAATTGCATTACCCAGTAGTGAGCCCATCTTCAACTTAATTGTCTCAGCACTGTGAACTGCAATGTAGTGCTGGAATTCATTCAATTTTTATTATCACAGAAACTCAGTTTTTAGAACTGCAAAGAGTAAATTATTCCATTTTAAGATAACTATTATAAGGGCCTAGCTGCTAAAGTCCTCACCTTGAATGCGCCAGGACCCCATATGGGTGTTGGTTCTAATCCTGGCCACCCCACTTCCCACCCAGCTTCCTACTTATGGCATGGGAAAGTAGTCAAAGACAGCCCAAAGCCTTGGGATCCCGCACCCATATGGAGACCAGGAGGTGGCTCTTGGTTCCTGGCTTCGGACTGGCTCAGGTCCAGCTGTTGTAACTACTTGCGGAGGAATCAACAGACAGAAGATCTTCCTCTAGTCTTTCCTTCTTTCTGTATATCTGAGTTTCCAATAAAAATAAAATAAATCTTTTAAAAAAAGATAACTATTACAAAATGTATACACAATGCATTTTGACTTCTTATGCCAATTTGAAAATAACTAAACCATGTGTTGTGGTATCTCAACATCAGACTTGGGAAAAGAAATCTTACCTATCTATCCTATCTATATATACCCACCTAGAATTTACTTATCACTCTACACCACTCGGAGACACTGGTAAATCAGATGCTACACAAATAAACAATAACACTATTTACTAATACTTACTAAGAATCTATCTGTCAGATGCTGTTCTAAATACAACTGTGTGGTTTAATCTTAACAACCTCTTATCCCCACTTGAAAAACAAAGAACTCAAGAAAGGCTACCTTGTCTAAAGACACATAACAGATAATAGAATCTAGCTCCAAACTAGATAGTTATACAGACTCAAAACTAACAAGGTGTTGCCAATACCAAGGAAAGAAGGAAGGTCAGAGACGGAGCCTGCTATTTCTGTTTTATTAAGGCATTAACCATAAGCCTGCACTGAAAAGCCAGAGCTTTAAAAAGATTCCAATGGAAAAGATTCATAGCAAACCAAAGCATATTTCAAGAATATGACAAAAACAGATTTATCAACCCTACCAGTAATGTAAGACTTTATATTGAATATTATAAACCCACATCCTTTAGAAACAGGTTTCAAGAACAAAAACTGAAAGCCGGTAATGTGGAGCTGATAGTTAAATTCTCCTTGAGATGCCAGTGTCCCACAGTACCAGCACAGGTTGGAGTCCCAGTTGCTCTGCTTCCCATCCAGCCTATTGCCAATGCACCTAGAGAAGCAGCAGATGGTTCAAGTGCTTGGTCCCTGCCACCAACATGGGAGACAGAATGGAATTCCTAGTTTCTGGCTTTAGTCTGGCCCTTCTGGCCATTTGAGGAGCAAACCAACAATGGAAGATCTCCCTCTCTGCCTTCTAAATAAGTAAACACACAAACACACACACACCATATGTATACCCTTAACATATACCTATTAAGAGAAACTCTTTAAAAAAAAAAAGAGAGAGGAACTTTTTAGGGGGCCAATGCTAGGGAACAGTGGGTTAAGCTCCTGTTTACAATGGCAATATCCCACTGTCTTTCAAATAAATAAATAAATATTTTGTTTTTAAGCAACACTTAAAAATATCTTACATTTTACTAATGGACAATTATTATTTTATTAAAGCATTATTATTCAATTTGCATTCAACTGAATCACATTTTATATCTTAATTTTTAAAAAATGAATTGAAACAGTATTTTAAGAAATAAGCAGGCAAAATTAAAAGCAAGAAACTTCATTCTCTCCTTACCTCTTAAACAAAAAAGGTAAGAGAGAGAAATCAATGCTTGTGGAACTGTTGAGTAAAATACTACTGTGAGAACTACAAGAATGAGACAAGTTTTTCTTGTGTACCACTACTTAAGCAGAAACCAATTAACCATGTCATAAATTCTGACTAGGTCTAAGTTTTAAAATTAACATTCACCTGAAATACTGAGGTACAGGCAGAGGGAAAACAGATGATATTGCTCAAGACAATTTCAGACTAGCCACTGGCTGCATCTATATTCCACAAAGTGACAAAAAGGGGTAAGAGGGAAAAGCATTTGAGAAATATTATCACACTAAAACATGGATATGTTGTCTTATTTTCCAAATTTAAAAAAGTTTCTAATCATTACCAATAGAAAACATGAAAATTTTAAAATCTTACAACAGAAAATAAACCACAGACTGAAGTCAAAATTAACCAGAAGACAAATATGATCAACAACATTTAAAACAAACACACAAAAACTCCTTCTAGTCAATACCCTAATTTGTGAGACATGTAGATAAATCTATCAAAATGAGGGCCTGATGCGATGATGGCTCAGTGACTAAATCCTTGCCTTTCAAGCGCCAGGATCCCACTTGGGCACTGGTTTGTGTCCCAATAACTTCACTTCCCATGTAGCTCCCTGATAGTAGCCTGGGAAAATAGTAGACGACAGCCCAATGCCTTGGGACCCTGCACCCATGTGGGAGACCTGGAGACCTGACTGGAATCAGCTCAGCTCTGGCCATTGTGGCCACTTGAGGAGTGAACCAGCACGTCTCTGTATGTTTGTCTTTCCAAGAAAAATAGATAAATCTTAAAAAAAAAAAAAAAGAAAAGAAATACCAAAATGAATAAATGGCAAGGATATACTGAGATGAGTATATTTACACATGATCAAAGGGCAAGAACCTGATCTGTGCTACTCACCACAAATCCCCCCAGGTACCTGGTGCCTGGTACATGCAAGCACTCAATAAATATTTCAAAACAAAAACAAAAACCCAAAACTGTTGTTGCTAAAAATTCTAGCCATGGAACCAGTATTCCAGTATTGTGGCATGGTGGTTCATGATGCCAGCATCTCTGCTGGGGTCCCAGTTCTGGCCTTGGCTGCTCTGCTTCCAATCCAGCTCCCTGCTAAAGGACTTAAGAAGACAGTGGAAGCCAACCCACTACATGGGACCCCCAAACATATGGGAGTTCTTGGTGGAGTGCCAGGCTCCTGGCCTAACCCCAGCTATTGTGGCCATTTAAGGAGTGACTGCTCTCTCTATTGTTCTGCATGTCAAAATAAATAAATAAATCTTTCTAAAAAATAAAAGAAAAAAGGAAAATTCTAGTCATTAGCCTTTCCCTGAAGAAATTCCCAGATTTCAATATTCCTTTCAAACAGCTTCCTGATTGTACACTAGTAATCCTAACTTATTCCTTGTACCCGCTTTGAAAAAAAGCAGTTTTCTCCTGGGCTATTTTACGTTTGTAATACATTGTCAAAGTCAAACCCTTTCCCAGTTAACCTACATTCATTTCAAACTTGAGGAAATTCTGTTGGGAAAGTATGGGCTTTGAGCTTAAAAAAAAAAAAAAGATTTGGCAGCATCCCAATTCTACCACTTAATATGATAGGGTCCTAAGTACAGTAACTAACTTTTCCACTTTTTACTAGTGTGACCTCAACGTTCCATACTTTTCATCCTCCAATGGGCACCAAATGCCCAAATCTTTCTGATGGTAGAACATGCCAAGTTCATACCCTATAGCCCCTGCACCGGTTGTTGTCTTTGTTACTAATGCTGTTCCCCTTGCCACACAGTAGACTGGCTCTTAGCTTTCAGATATCAGTTCAATTCATCTCCTCAGACACACCTTTCCTAACAACCCAATCAATCAGCCTACTTCAATTTTTTTGATAACAATTATCATTTCACAATATTTTCTTTATTTCTGTCCCCTCCCATTATCAAGAGGAGCAGGACTCTTTCCTGTCCTGTGTCAAAGTGCATGGCAGGTACCAATTAGAAGTGGCTCTCCCTGCCCCTCCCTTTCTCTTCATTAAACAACAATGTGTCAAGTGCTGTCAAGTGCTCTCCAGTATTCCTGAACTTGAATTACAGCCTCTACTCCTCCCATGACTTTATGAGACTTAAACTAGTACTGGGAACTCCAGATCCTCATAAGCTACCACCTCAAACTCAAAATGGAAGCCAGGTTTCTCAATGACCAGGAGTTACAAACATGAGTATGGA